CGTAAACAACAACACGTTGACGCCCTCTCGCGTTCACCGATTGGCTCTGAAGATATCTCCGCCGACTCTTCCACCGATGACGACACCGACGGCCCTGCATTCCAATTCCCGAACATAACCCTACATCTAAACACCGAAGAGCTCATTCGAGCACAACAATCAGCCGACATGTCATATGTCCGCTCACCACAAACCCGTCAAAATGTGGTCACAATTCAATCCCGAGGTCTTCACAAAGCCGTAGTACCTGAATCACTACGACAACAGTTGATGAGCCGATTCCACGAGCAACACTCGCATCCCGGAAAACGGAAAACCGTACAACTCATCACTCGGTACTACTGGTGGCCTAATGCTATTCCCGAAATCAAAGCATACGTTTCCTCATGTCGTACGTGTCAGTTAGCCAAGCAGAGACATACCGCACCACCGGGTCATTACGTGACTCCCGGACCAACGCAACAGCCTCTGGACTTGGTCGCTCTCGACACCATAGTCATGGGACCCGCTTCTAACCACACAAAAGCCAAAAACATTCAAGTCTTTATAGACCATCATTCCCGATACATTTGGGCTTTTGCTACCCCAAAGAATACGACTCAAACAATCATAACATTAGTCGAAAACCTAATCAAATCAGGAATCAAACCTAAACGACTACTAACAGACAATCTATAGACCATCATTCCCGATACATTTGGGCTTTTGCTACCCCAAAGAATACGACTCAAACAATCATAACATTAGTCGAAAACCTAATCAAATCAGGAATCAAACCTAAACGACTACTAACAGACAATCACCCGAACTTCAAGTCAAAACTCCTTAAGACAGCACTTTTTCGACATCACATCAGCCATACGTTCACCACGCCATACCATCCGGAATCTAACGGTATTGTAGAGCGCGGGAACGGCACCATAATCGAAAAACTACGCGCTGCCATTATCGACAAACCGACCAGAAAATGGTCAACACTTTTAAAGGACATCATACGGGACTACAACAACACTCCGCATGACATCACAGGCTTTAGTCCACAATATCTAATGTTCAGCATAGATAACTACCCATCATTTGCATCTCCAAACCAACCAATCGAGACCGCAAGACAATTAGCCAACGAACGGACACAACGGTCACAAGAATACCGCAAATCCCG